AGGAGCGGTTGAAAAAGGAGAAAAGCCTGGATAAGGAGAAAACAGCGAGGGCAGCCCAAGAGAAGGAGCTGGTGGCGAAGCAGAGGCTAGCCAGAGAGGAGCCAGAGAGGCTGGCAAAGGAGGGAGAGAACGAAACGCCACAAAGAACAAGGTGAAGTGTCGAGAGATTCTGGAGAGGAAACCGAACGCTTCCCAGCCAAAACATCCAGTAGCGGAGGACAGAACAGACAAAGCCTCAGCAGTCAGGAGAGAGAAGAGCGTGGTGGTGGAGAAGACAGCTGTGGACGGTAAGAAGTAATGATACTGCGGCTCCAAGCTGCCATCTTGTACATGGCGCCACATCTGGCAGGAAGCACAGAGCAGCACCGACACAGAGTACATAAAGAGTGACTGATGTTAGGTTCATGGCTGTGGGGTGGCTGTGGCTCACGAGGTAGGGCAGTCATCTCCTGACCAGCAGGTTGGTGGTTCAACTCCGGTCTCCCTGCATGCCTAAGTGTCCCTGAGCAAGACACTGAACCCCGAATCCCGGTGGCTTGACTAGCGCCGTTGTGTGGCAGCCTGTCGTCATCAGTGTGTGAATGTTGTGTCTGAATGGGTGAATGATGTAACATCTCCTGTAAAGCGCTTTGGCCAGTGCAACACACTGTGGAAAAATGCACTATATAAATACAGTCCATTTACCATTTCGTGGATTTACAAATCAGGCTTTTGGCTGCTGGTTGGAAACAAAACAATGAGTCCTTCACCAGAACTTTATTTATTCCAGAGTGACCGGCACCAACTCAGATTTTTTGCTTTGCCTTTAACATGTGAGAAACCTTTGTTAAATAAATTTTGGTTTTCAGTTTAAACTGTGGCTGTCTTCCTTCTTGGTGTGACCAAACCCATGTGTTGTCTCCTCCGGCAGCTGTGTGCTCGCCAGTCGGGCACTTTGTTTTTACATGCTGATGCCGTTAAAGTCTGTTCCCCAGTTGTAATGCTCTTTAAAAGTGCCATCACACCAGGCTCGCTCTGCTGAGTCCTGCCCGCCTCCTCTGTTCGCTCAAACCGGCCCCTGGTCTCCTCGCTGCTTTAAAGTTTCTTGTGATACCTGAGATGAGAAATCAAAGTTTTTGGTTTGGTTTGCCTCTGACCTTTGAGATGCTGTAAACCCACATCAGTTCTGCATGTTTGTGCCTGTTGTCATTTTTCCTGTTGTACTGTTTTCATCTTTCTTGACTCTGTGCATTAAAATGAGCATTGTCCAAGTCACTTTTTTTTCTTTTTTTTAAGATAGAAAGGTTGTTTAGCTAGTTCCAGTGTTCTTGTATCTGTTCCTTAATTACTTACTAGTGTCTCTCATTATGTAAAAAGTACACGGATTAAGTGATACAGTGAAACACGTATTGAAATAACTTGGACTTGCTGAGATATTTTTTGTTATAGGTCAAGAACCTTTGTGCTGTTTGGACTATATTATATTTAGACAGAGTTTTCTATTTAAAACTGCAGCAAACTTTGGGCCAACAAGCCATCAAGCAAACCCTCGGTTTGGCAGCCAACCTTTAGATTAGTCAGATGTATCTGGAGTTGAAAATGATGGAGAACAGTGAAGTTATCAGTCCTGCTTGTACACATCCATCACAGGTCAGAGCAAACACATGAAAACAGTTTGTCTGCTGGTCAGACTGACACGTGAAATGTCAGTAATACTCCCTTGTTGCACCAGAACACTGTGCTGGCACAAGTACAGTCAGCAGGTCAACAGTGACATAAGATGTTGGATGTTAAACACTTTGGGTAAAAATAATAAGGATAATCACCTTTATTTGGCCAAGTATGTTATACATAAGGAATTTGTTTCCGGTACAGAACTGAGGCAGCCATCTGCGGCGCCAACTCAACCGATGGCTCTAATCATCGGGGGCAACAGGGGGGTTCAGTGTCTTGCCCAAGGACACTTCGACATGTGGACTGCAGGCACTGAGATTCCAACCCTCAACCTTCCAGTTGGGAGACGACTGCTCTACCCACTGAACCACTGTCGCCCCCAAATGTTACTGTTCACCTTTGTCTTCCTTTCCAGACAAGTTTGTTTTCACTTGTTGACACTGCATTTCCAGATCTCAGCAATTAATGCAGTGGGTGTAGCGTTGTAACAAAAAGATTTATACAGAGGTGTGTGACAGGAGTGGAAGTGTGTGTTTCATGTCTGACGTCAGCCCTTCTAACCACTGGACAGGGCTGAAGGAGGCACAGAGAGCGGGAGACTCACCTGAAGGGAACGTAGGTGAGCACACGCGCAGCGCCACTTCACACAGGCGAGCTCACGCACACGCGCAGCGCCACTGCACACAGGCAAGCACAGACTGACCTGAAGCCTGAGAGGACCAACCTGTAGGTGCTTCCCTCACTCCCACCTGTGAACTGAAGCCCCAGGGTGTGTTTGCCTTACCTGAGCTTTGCTCCATGTAACTGATCCCAGGTCTGTAACCTGAAGCTTTGTATCGGCTTCACCTGACACTGGGGGCCACCCATTACAACCAGTCTTCTGATGTCTGACATAGTGACGCCCTGCTGCCCAGTATGTAGAGCACGGCTTCACCCACACAGGAAAACTCTGTAATATGTGCTGATTCCTGACAGGTGCGATGAGGGGCCACAAGATGACCCTATGAGTGTCAGTCAGACAAAACCCGAGCTGCAGGAACATTGTGCGCTGTCTGACATGTAGGAGAAACTGGTGGTCACTGAAAATAATCATTAAATGAAGAGAGTCTTTTGGTGACAGTTTGAAACTAAATATTTCTAATGAAATACACCCTCAGGGCTCCTGGATGTGAGTCTCTCTTTGAAGAGACTTAACCTTTCCTGTTAAAAAGTCAAAATGGCCACACCTGAAAACAGCCACAGTCACAGAAGTACAGACTGACACGGTCTCTTTCAGTCTGGGCCTCTGCTCTGTTGTCGGAGGGTGGGGAACTTTTACATGTGTCAGGGTCTGGCCTTGAATGTATCACAATCAGTTGTTGGTGTGGTGTGGTGTGGTGTGTGTCCTCCATCTTCCAAGTTTTAAAATCCAAAGAAGCCAGTGAACATGTGGCTAAAACAGCTAATAAGCAAACTGCAGAGTCACCAGAAGCCACACCCACTCAGCCGCCGACTGCAGAGGCCGTATCAGGTGTGAGCATCATTTCCATCACTTAAGTAATAAAAGTTAACTAATGGTGATCTAATATTCTAAAAGGAGTATGTCATTACTGTATTGAGCTTATATCACTGTAATTAAGAGTCCGTCGGCCTCTGCTCTGATGTTCACGTTGAGAGTCACCAGGTCAGCAACCTGCTTTGTTTATTAATTGATCACTGTCAATAAATAACTGTATTCAGATGTCACTTTTCTAGCTGCGGAGTTCCAGCTCAAACTTTCTCTCCTGGTTTGATCATGTTAGTTTTTTTCTTTTTTACTTCTGACTGCTCAAAGCCATAGAAAGGCTCTAGCAGCATTTCAAGCCGGTTTACGTGTTCCTCTGGTACTTTTACCACTGGATTATGTGATTTGTATTGGTTTGTTTTGTATTCAGCGTCCGTCCTACTACAGACTGAAACTGGGGCAGCAGGAAGGGACGCAAATAACAAAAGGAAGCCAGGGGTTTATTGGAAGCAAAACAAAATCCAGCTGTGTTTAGTAAAACATTGTTTTCTGTCTGATTTCTTGTCTGTCATCTTTAGAGGGTGAACCCACACCTGTCCTCGATGATCAAGGTATGTGGACTGTACTATGACACTGTAGTACTGAGTGAATGAGCATAACAGATTATCAGAAACAGATGATACACAGCTTTTTGTATGTGAATAAGGACAGCGACAGCTAAACAGTGCTTCATACTCAGACGCCATGTTTGATCAGGCCAGTTCGCTTCTGTGTTATCAGGTATTTGAAACTCGTTATCCGGAGTAGCTGTACAGATGTTAAACATGTGGCCTGTGACGTCTGAGTGTTTACTACTGTGTGTCCTGATCAAACTCTGTGATCAGCTGAGTGTCTGGCACCTCTGTGCCACTGGGGTAACGTTACATCCTCTGTCTGCTCCAGAGTCTGGGCCCCAGGACGTGGAGTCAGATATCCAAGGTTGGTCTCGCACTGACAATGGCTGTGAAGCTGCTGTGTTTCTAGTGTGATCGCCGATACGTTCAGATCTTGACCATTTGTTCTGATAGACTTAAGTGCAGCTCAACATAGTTCTGTATATTTACAGGTAAATGCCAGCAGGTTTGTGCTTGACCTCCAGACAGTTTTCCTCTTGAGGTGGAGCAGAACTAACAGAACCTTAATCCTAACAAACCAAAGCAGAACAAGTGAGAACACAGCAGCCCTTTCTCTAACATAAGAATGAATAACGAAAAACAAAATAATGCAGCTTCCAATGATTTATTCGTTGGCATTGATTAGGAACCAACAGTGAGGAGCATGCTGTCTGTGAACAAGATGAGAGCAGAAAATCAAACGTCAGACTCTGGTTGGCCTCATTTTTAAGGCTGATGACATGTTCATGTTTATTGTGATCAGGGCTTAATTGTTCTTTTAATTTAAAATGTCACCATCAGGTTTGTAGGACTTGAACAGTGATCGGTCGCATCTCCTCTCTGTTTGTTCCCATTCACTTTGAAGTTCGACTATTTAACTCTGTCCTGTTTTCTCTGCGTCCTCCTCATCCTCACCTTCCCCGTGCTCCCACGCGTCCTGTCTGGCCACATTAGGCGTGTGTTTTAACTTGAGTGTTTTCTTTCTCCAGACGCTGTCCTTCTCCCTTCACTGGTGGAAGATAGCTTTGTGCCAGGTACCAGCATTTTCTCTTCTCCTGCTTTTACCTTTAATGTAGAGATCACCCAGATGGCGATGAAGGTGATGATACTTGTGTTTAAGGAGACCAGTAGGAGTTAAAGTTGCCTTGATCCTGATGATGGCCTCTGGGACGGCACTGTGTGCATAGTTCAGCTGCATGCAATCTGTTGTATTGCTTGATGAACTCATCACTCTACAGTATTTAATCCTAGTTTGCAACATTTGTCCAATTTCTACTTTTTTAGCCTCAGAGCTTCTGTTCTGACCTTGCAGAATGTTGCAGCGTCTCTCCAACACACTTTGTCAGTTGAGAGCGACCTGCCCGCTGTTTGAGTTCATTATTAAATAAGAGTCTGACTTTGTTAAGGGGTTTTTCAGAGGCTTTTTAATGTTTGTTCTCCTGACAGTGCAGTGTAGACTAGACGTACTTGTCAGTACAGTTCAACTGCAGCACAGACTACAGCCTCCAAACCGATCCGGCTGAATCGGCCCCTCAACAACAGCTGCTGCATCAGACAGACCTAGCTTTAGCTCGGTGTGCCTAACAGACATGTCTGTCTCTTGTAGATGATCCACGAAGCAGCGTGCATCCTTATGGTCAGTAAATTATATTCTTCTCTGTCCCCTGCCTTTTCTAAAGGTTTATAGTTTCCATAATAATTTGCTTCTGCTGGTTCATCCCTTTATTTCAGAGGATGAGGCCATTGCCATCGATACCACCGGAGGTGAGGCATTTAACCTGACATTTGTTGGATGATGGGGCGGTAGTAATAGTAGAGACAGGTGCTGACTGGGAAGTTAGTCATAGTGACATGTTGGTGTGTTTGTCTCAGACGCACACAGTAAACACGCAGTGGACAGAACACTTGTTTCTCTTTTCTGTTGCAGTTCTGGTGGAAGAGCCGCCGCCACACCAGAGTGTAGGTGAGTCCAGAGCTACAGCAGCAACGCTTGGTTTCACTAGAGGAGGGTTTTTAGGGTGGTTTTGGTTCAGTGTGTAACTTTTTGATGTATTTAATTAAAGTAAACCTTTGTTGAATGTGCTCGTTTATGTTCTTCTCAGGTGTTGGATGAGAAGAAAAATGTTTTGCACATTAGGCGTGGTAATTACACACAAGTCATAATGTGTGGCTGTTCTTGTTGCTGCTGGATGGAGCCAGGCTAGCAGCTCCCCCTGTTGCTAGTCTTTGTCATGACGGTGCTACCAGCCTTCTGCCCGATTGCAACCCTGGCTATGAAAGCCACAAGTATATTTTCCAAAGTGTCAGACTCTTTCCTTTAAGTTTGAATTCTGTTCAGTCTTATTTACTTTAATGCAGCTTTAAAGAATAAATAAAACAGAGAAAATATAGGCACCACTTTTTATTTCCAAAGCAGCAAAGTCGAAGTAATTAAAGTGTTAAAATAAAAGGTACAGCTCGTGAACATTGCTCCGGGTTAAGGTGACCTTGTTATTTCAGGTGAGCAGTGTTGTAGGTCTGTTTTCTGTGGTAATGACACCAATCTTTTTTTTTTTTGTCTTCTGTTTGTTCGGTAGTGAAGCCAGGGCAATATTTGACAAGCTCCAAATTCACACAGGAAGAAGGTACAGTGTGATGTGATTTGTCTAAACTTAGTGTTGTAAATGATGTTTGATGCTAATTGTGCAGCAAATCTAAACACACCAGGTTTGTGGTTTTTGTATTACTGTGTTTTGTGTTACTACCTGTGTCCGTCTTTCCCTCTGACTCGGCACTGAACTTTAATTTTCAGTCAGGGCTCTACATTTCTTTTCTGCAAAGACCTTGGTTGTTGAGATTTACGGTCAGAGATTACATTAGATAAGTTTTCAAAAACCAGGGAACATCATATTAAAAATGATTTCAGAGGAATTTGGAAGATGGTTTTCTAGAAAACAAACCTTACTGAGGTGCTTTCCGTCTGCTGTCAGGGCGAGTTGCAGAAGCAGAGCACTGGTCTGAACCACCAGCACAACCAGAACTACAGAGTGCCACACCCAGAGAGACGGAGAAAACCCCAGAGACCCCGGGTGACAACACATATGTGACTTATTTTCTTGTGTACACAGTTTGCTTGTGTTGAGTTTTACCAGCATCATGGAGCTGAGTCCGAGTTTACAGTCCGCACTTTCAGTTGGGGTGTGGTGGTTTGTTGTGTATTATTCTAGTGTTGATCACAAGCCGTTCAAACTCACACACACAGTGAACTGAATATGTCACAGCACAGTTAGGTCTCGGGGCTACAGCTGTTTTTGTCCTATCAGACTGTCAAAACAAAGCAGACACGACGTGTGTCCCCTGAATGAAGGGATGTCTTTGTGAAACTTGGATGAAAATCGTAACTGAATAGTTTAGGGAGTGACAGCAAGGCACAGAATGCGGTCAAACCTTTGTCAGCCTTGGAACATTGCGAGTATTAAATGTTAAACTTTTTACGTCTTTGTCACAGGAACAACAGAGAAACAACCTGACGAGATGCTCAAAGAAAAAGGTAAAAACTGATAAAGCTTTAGACAGATGAACAGTGCATGTTTAGACATGCGTTTAATTATATTTTTGACACTCCCTTCTTTTTTCCTTTCTTGTTCGCCTCCTCTTTCTCTCCTCCAGCAAAAAAGAAGAAACCAAAATTGCTGAATAAGTTTGATAAAACTATTAAAGCAGAAATTGACTCTGCAGAAAAGCTTCGCAAGAAGGTACAGACCTGATGCCTTTCCACTAGATTCACTCTTCACTTCCACTCCAAGAGTTTATCTTATCTTTTCTTTTTTTGACCTCTCCTCCTGGCCACACCCATAAAAACCTGTTAAACTGGTGGTGGCGTGATGCTGTGCCAGGGTGTGGGGTCAAGCACTCATTGTCTTCCTGATGGTTTTAGCAGAGATAAGAAATGTGGATGTTTCGAACTGATGCATTTTTGTCTTGGTGTCTTTCCTGTTTGATCAGGGGAAGGTGGATGAGGCACTGAAAGCTTTTGAGCTGCTGGTGCAGACGTATCCACAGAGCCCCCGTTCTCGTTATGGGAAAGCCCAGGTACTGCTCAGATCTACATCACAGCACCGCAGCACAGTGAGCTGATACTGGACTGGTGTATTTCATAGCGACACCGGCTGTGTTCTGATGATATGCGTGCAGGCGGAGGACGACCTGGCCGAGAAGCTGCACAGTAATGACATGCTGCAGAGAGCCATTAACACCTACAGAGAGGCCGCTGAGCTCCCCGATGTGACCTCTGACCTCCTGCGAGCTGCACTGAAGAGACGAGCTGAGAGACAGCAGTTCCTGGGTAACACACACACACTGACAGCACAGCTACTGGTAGAAATACTGTAGCTCTCAAAAGGTAGCGTGGAGATGGTGTGTGGAAAACTCTGCTGAGCGCCAAGCGGCTCTTGGACATTTGGCCCTATGCGATATTTTCTCTGTCTCAGGGCGTATGCGAGGGTCTCTGATGACCCTGGAGAAGCTGGTTCACATCTTTCCAGAAGACATCAATCTGAAAAACGACCTGGGCGTAGCACACTTGCTGCTTGGAGACAACAGGGGTGCCAGGAAGGTCTATGAAGAGGTGTGTGTCTAGTGTGGCAAGTAAAACAGTAAACCAACACGAGGCTGTGTAAAATAACAGCCTTGGCTGCATTAAAAGCACATAGATCCTCTCAGGTTTGTGCAGTGGCAGGAGTCTGTAGAGGTTTAACTGGTGCTCTGACATAAAGCAGGTTAAATATCTGATAAAAGGTTTAAAGCGATTTTAATTTGATAAGATCAGAATTCACATGAAATGCTAACCCTTTCCCCTGATCACATGACTGAATGAAGATAACAACAGACAATTACAATGTGTGGTACGTACACACAGACTTTGACTATGCTGTTCTCTCTCTCTGATTGGCTGTCCCATCTCGGTGCCCTACATCCCAGGTCCTGGCGGTTGACCCTGGGAACGGCTTTGCTAAAGTTCACTATGGCTTCATCCTGAAGTCTGAGAACAAGATCGCGGAGAGTATACCCTACCTGAAGGTAAACGCTTGTGAGGAGAGTCGGTTTCACAGGAAGCACATTTGCATGTAGCCAACATTCACTGGAGTAACATCAGTGACCTGAGCAAATCAAAACTCTCTCCTACAACCAGCCTTATTTTGGTGGCGTAACACTGGAAGCGCACCGCTGTGCTCAACACAGCATCAACCTTTCAGAGCAGAAGCATCAGCGCCCACACCAGGCACTGTTGCCTCACACAGAGACGCGTCACACTGGTTTTTAATACAGCATGTATTGATTAAATAGTCTCAGACACCATGTGTTTTACTATATGGGCTTTACTGACCACAATAACAGTGAAAGCAGTATGATCGCTTTCTCAGTGCTTCATCCTCTGATCCTCTTATCTACCTCACCTACTTCACCTACTTAGGATCGGTTTTGGATTATGTCAGCCTGTGAGCGACTTGGGTTTAATGTTGTGTTGCTGTGCTGTCGTCTGTCACTACATCCTGCAAAAAGCAGAAGTAGTAGCCTGATTATGCTTCTACACAGCCATGAGGTTTGTTAGCTGGAAAATCAAACCCCTAACCCAGATAATGGTAAATGGTCTTATACTTGTATAGCGCTTTTCTACGCTTTACAGCACACTCAAAGCACTTTTACACTACTTGGCCATTCACCCATTCACACTCCCAAACACTCACACACCGGTGACATCACCGGGAGCAACTGGGGGTTCAGTGTCTTGCTCAAGGACACTTCGACATGTTGACTGGACAAGCCGGGAATTGAACCGCTAATCCTCCGGTTAGGAAATGACCCACTCTACCTCCTGAGCCACAGCCGCCCCCAATAATGGACACCAGATTTCATACGCAGGCCACTTTTAAGCACTGTGATGCAAAACCCAGCAGAAACCTGCTGACTGTGAATGACTGAACACCACTCCTGTTCACTGTCTCTCTCCAGGAGGGTTTGGAGTCTGGTGACCCGGGCACGGACGACGGGCGTTTTTATTTCCACCTGGGAGACGCCCTGCAGAGAGTTGGAGACAACAGCGTGCGTAACACACACCATGTCTGTCCACATCACTCAGTTTTGAACACAGATGTGGAAGCTCTTTTAAACTTCACCTGGTCTGAACAATGTGGTCCTGTAGTAATGTCGACTGGCACCAAAGAGTCTGATCAGTAACCAGATTCAGACTAGCTGAGCACTGTCCTGAGTGATATGAGATGAACTGGTGGAAAGCAACGAAGTACATTTACTCAAGTGCCATGTTTAAGTACAGCTTTGAGATACCTCTACTATTTTACCACTTTATACTTCTGCATTTTGTACAAGCTTTGATTTGGCCCCGGGCAGCTTCCACATCTGTTTGAGATCAGACCCTGGGCTTACTGGCACCAAGCTGTAACCACCTGAACTAACAGATGTAAAGGGCTGCTGTCACTGATCCTCACGAATCAGCTGTGGAAACGTGACTGTAGTGTCTGTAGAGCCACGTGCAGATGTTTGAATCCCAATGATTTGGGCTGTTTTGCTGCTTTGAGATACAGGTGGTGTCAGATGTTTTTCCTAATTGGTCATATTACTCCCAAATTAAATTCATTAGATTGATGTGACGCTGTGGAAAATCCTAGTTAATGTAGCTTTAATAGAATTTCCAGACATTCAGTTGTTCATTTCCACCTACAGTGGCATACAGTGTTCCCTGCCCCTCTCTCTCTCTCTCTCTCTCTCTCTCCAGTCATATTACTGGTATGAGCTGGGTCACAAACGAGGCCACTTTGCCTCAGTGTGGCAGAGGTCGCTGTACAATGTGGACGGACTGAAGGCTCAGCCCTGGTGGACGCCTAAAGAAACCGGATACACGGATCTGGTCAAGGTATAGTGACACAGTGTGTCTGTGTGCACACACCTGTGCAAAGCAGGTTCATCAGTCTGGAAGTAGATTTTTTTCTGTGTGTGAATGTTGTCAGGTGTTGGAGAGGAACTGGAAGACGATCAGGGACGAGGGTCTGGCAGTGATGGACCAGAACACTGGATCGTTCATACCCGAGGAAGAAAACCTGAGAGAGAAGGGAGAGTGGGGCCAGTACACACTTTGGCAGCAGTGTAGTGACACACACACACACACACACACAAACACTCAGGTGCTGCCCCACTGACACGGAGCTGGGACTGAATCAGGTCTGGTGCTAAAACAGTCACCTGACAAGATGAGCTGATCAGCAGAAGTTGTATCAACAATTTTAATTGAAAACAAGAGATATAACGATCTAATGATCAACTCGTTATTGAAGTCGTTTATTAACGACTTAATGAAGTTAGACTGTGTTTTATGTTTGTTTTCAAGGGAGAAAAGTTGGAAATGCCTGTCAGGGTGTCCCAAAGACCTGCTCGCTGCTGGAGCGATATCCTGAAGCTACAGGGTGCAAGAGAGGACAGGTGAGCACAGACACACACACACACACACACACACACACACACACACACACACACACACACACACACACACACACACACACACACACACACATTTACTGTGCTGGACCTAATATACAGTGAGATCTTATGGAGCTTTATTAGAAAAGCGGTACCGTCTGGTATTTGACTTCTTCCTTCTTTCTGAACGGAGTACCCATGTAGCAGGGTTTTCCACAGAGAGTGTTGCATTGTGGGTTGTTTATAGCCTTAATGTTGCTAATAGACTGGCAGGTGTTTATAGAGACAGTGTTAATGTTGGTCAGTTCACTGTAGAAACACGCTGGGGACTGAATTATCTGTCACTGAGAGTTACTGCTGTCACACATGATGTGCAGCTCATTTTCATTCCACCCGGGAACCTGACAGGAGAGAGCGTGCGTCTGACAGACAGATGTAGGATTTACGTTCGACTAAGTACTCTGACACATCACCTTATGTTTGTGGACAGATCCTGCTCTGCTGCCATGTGTCGATATCTGGAGGGTTTTATTGCTAAAAATATCTCAGGTTCAGGTCATTCTCCCTCTGAACTCTTTATATGTTTATCAGAAGCAGATTAGACCCATAAATAAGTGGTGATCTGAGTGTGTGAAGTCAGCTGGGTTTAATCTGCTCATGTGTCCCTTTTCATAAATGTGTGCAGATCAAGTACTCCGTGATGCAGCCGGGTACTCACGTGTGGCCTCACACCGGTCCCACCAACTGCAGACTGAGGATGCACCTCGGCCTCGTCATCCCCAGACAAGGCTGCAGGATCCGCTGCACCAACCAGACCAGGTACTGGCCTCATCCTTCTTCCTGCTGCCCTCTGCTTTCTGAATGAAGGTTTGACTCCAAACGTTATTGTATGAACAGTGAAGGATTGTGAGCATTGACTGTGAGTGTGGGGGTGAAATGTCACAAATTCACCAGCCTGTCATTTTACACAGCTCTGCCTAGAGGGGCCAGATTGTTCCTGTTTGCTGACCTGGTCAAAAGTCAAGTGTCAAGTCGGGTTTTATTTACACACAGACCAATGTCACAGGTCACAGATTTGTGTTACAGTGATCGACTGTAAATGTTCTCATAAACGGCGGCAAAGTTTTCCCTCCTCTCTGGTAACGTCTCTTTCTTCTTCACTGTTTGTGTCCCAGGGAGTGGGAGGAGGGTAAAGTCCTCATCTTTGACGACTCCTTCGAGCACGAGGTCTGGCAGGAGGCTGACCATTACCGCCTTATCTTCATCGTGGATGTCTGGCACCCAGAGTTAATGCCGTACCAGCGCCAGACTCTGAGCCCTATTTAGACCAGGACCTGGGAGCAGCTGGACAAAGACCTGGTAAGAACAGTCACACAGCCTGAGCAGCTGACCGATTCTTCTTCTGTGGACAGAACTGCCAAAAACCCTGACTCGGTCTAAGAAGGATCAAAAGGCGAGTTTGTTTTTTTTCTTCTTCTTCTTTTTTGTGGATTAACTACTAAACTCCTGAATACTGTCACAAGACCAGATGTCGGACTGAAGAACAGAAAAGAAAGTGTGTATTTTTACTGGGTGATACTACTGACTGTACGACCCAGACATGTGGCACGTGTTCTGGCCCTGGTTAGCCCTGTTTGGCCCGGGTTCCAGGTTCCCACAGTCACAGACATTATGCAGACTTTAAAGAATTCAGCGTTTATTTCCTAGCTCTGGAAATTATTTGGGAAAAACATCCAAAGTTTTGGAAAATGTTGAAAATTAAAAAACTCTAAGTGGACGTTTTTGTTAATGCCCAAATGTTACTGAGCGTCAAACCAAAACCAGTTATCCAGGGTTAAACGCCATCAACATTAAAACATCCGACAGATTTTAAAGTAGTTCACGTGCTTTTGTAAAGATGCGGAAACATTGCCACGGAGCCATTTGTGATGAAGAAGAGATGCCTTGGTTTTAGCTCGACCACTAGGAGCCTTTTCACTTTCACCTTTTTATCACTTTTGCACAGTGACAAAGAAACATGTTGACAACAGATGATGTATCTTTATATTAAAAATAAAAATACAGAAAAAAATGCACCTGCAAAAGTAAACATTTTATTTGTTTAGAAGCAGTTTATCACATGAGAGCAGTTTGTACTGAACTGGTCTCCTCCGTTGTGGTTTGATGCAGATGAGTTTTCTCTACGGTGGCCGACACGGTCACAACACATGCAAAAGACACAACACATGCAAGACACAAACGCGGTATTGAACAAAACACATGCAAACGGAAAACGCTGCATTAACCAAAAACACATGCAAAAGGAAGAAACGCGGCATTAAACAAAACACATGCAAAAGGAAAACGCTGCATTAACGGAAAACACATGCAAAAGGAAAACGCTGCATTAACGGAAAACACATGCAAAAGGAAAACGCTGCATTAACCGGAAAACACATGCAAAAAGAAAACGCTGCATTAACTGAAAACACATGCAA